CTCAATGACTTGAAGAAAGGAGTTACCAGTTGGAGCTTAAGCGGTTGGGGGGAGAATGTGAAACGTATTCAAGTTGAGCACTAGGCTCGTATCCAAAAAATCCGTGGTCTTTACCCAATGCCTTAGGAGGCACCTGACGCTGCACAGACGCCAATCGCATACCACTCAACTAAATTGAGCAGGGATGGGAAGACTCAAAACAGATCAGATAATTTGATATCTGAATTGGACCTCACGAAGGTAAATTCCATTGCATACAATGAACACTTTAGCCGTATCACTTCGCTGACCATTTGAGAATTGCTTTCTTGCATATACAAATGCATCAATGCAAAATCATTCATACATATATGCTAGAAAGCAAAAACCCAAATAACAGGAAGCAATTAGCTAGCGCCCAAAGTTATGCAAGGATTTACGCTCTTCGCGTAAACATATACAAACGACTTTTGCCTGGTGAATTGGCCAATATGCCGTTAGTGAAGTGGCTAAGGCTCTTTTCAGGGCCACAAATTATAATTTAAATAATTATATATTAAAAGCATTAATTTATTTAATATATTAAAATTCTTGTAATATCTTAATCAAATAATTCCTTATGCCAATTGTTAGCTTAAGTGTTTTTTCTTAACTTGTAATCACAATAATTTCACAATAATTAATATTTATCAAAAAGTACGGATTTTCAACCAAACTTTGTTCCCAGAAAACTCAAAAATTGTCATTTAAAGTTAAATTTATTAAAATTTCTTGAAACAAACCAATCATTTTTATTAATTTTCATGAGTTCATCAAATTATTTACGATATAAATAATTAATATTAGACTTTTGCTAAGAAATTGTTATTTAAAATTTTTTTTTTAATGTTTTGATGTTGCCATTGATGCAACCTTAAGGGTATAGTGTGCTTATGTACATATATATAAATATATATGCGTACATAATATTTAATTCATTATGTGTCCTCATTAGACTCAAAAATGTAATGCTCATATGTAATAATTCTGGGCAGATATTAAAGCAATTTTAATTTAATAAATTTTCGAAAATAATTTCTATGGGACATTGCACTATTGTGATAAATGTATGAAAATATAGGCAGACCCTAACATTAAACTTGAAGGAAACTGTGTTTTCACCTTCTCTATTGTGACACTTTATCTATGTATCAGTGGATATTGCTTCGTGTCAAAGGCTAAGTCGCCATCAGCGGGTGCGAGCTCTGAAACGACAGTATTATCTGGTCGTGCTCTCCTACTAACAACTGTTATTTTAAGTTATTTTCAAAATTCTATGCCTAAATATACCTCCTGTTGTAATCCTGGTACTATTAGAAACTCAAGTTCCCGTGTCAGGCCAACCCACAAAACTGGGAGCTAATGACTCCTGTCACTTGAATTTCTCCCCCGTTCGCTGTTCTTATATTTTAGTTTTTAACTTTAACTACCTTGCTTTAATTATTTTGCAAGAATTTATCTGCGTTCTTTTCTATTCCCCCTACCTTCGTTTGCGCAAAAAAACGATTTTCACCCTTAATGTTCTATCTGTGGACTATCGTCGACACTATTTTATTGCGTGTTCTTCTGAACGGTTTATCCTTTTCCCTCATTCTGTGAATCTTCGTAAAATCTCCAGTTTTTGAATTTGACGTATNATGTAATAATTCTAGGCAGATATTAAAGAAATTTTAATTTAATAAATTTTCAAAAATAATTTCTATGGGACATTGTACAATTGTAATAAATCAAGAATTTTCAAAAAAAAATTGTACCCTTAAATTAAAATACTTGACAAATATTGCGATACATATAACACACAAGAATAGAAACGGTCCTTTTCCGGACCACAATTTTCCATTTTTTTTTAATTATTTTAGTTTAATTTAGCTTAGTAACAAGAATTTAAATACATATATTAATATACTTATGTATATATGTACAAAATTGCACAAATTTATGAATATGCGTTTAAATGTACAAATGTGATCTCTTTGGGCTACTGTACTTCATTATTATTTGCTATATAAGTTAACGCAGCACTTCACAAATTATGAAATGTTCAATAACCCCATAAGTCCACGATATGCTTCCCGTCAATATAATGATAAACGCTGACTAGGCGTCTGAGGAATATTGCAACAAACAACTGTCAGCAATAATCGACGCAAACAACAGTCAGCAATCAACTAATCGGAAATTGGTTGTCAGCAAATTAATATTAAGAAGCTAGGTGTACAGTAGTAGTAAGNTGACATTTTCGAACGCATTGCTGCTGAGGCATCGCGTTTGGCTCACTATAACAAACGTTCAACTATCACCAGTCGCGAAATTCAAACTGCTGTGCGTCTACTTTTGCCCGGTGAATTGGCCAAACATGCCGTCAGTGAAGGGACTAAGGCTGTTACCAAATACACTAGCTCCAAGTAAATTGTCTATTGATAATGTATGTGTGTGTAACGACAAAAGGCCCTTTTCAGGGCCACAAAATATAATTTAACTAAGAGATTCAAATATATATATTAAATGCCTATTTCATCTATGCAATAAAAATGTATGAAATTTTTTTGTGAAGCTAAAATAATAATATGATTATTTTAATCGTCAAAAGTCTCAGTACAGTTCATTATGGAATAGAAGTCACTCTCAAATGATCCGGCAGCCGCGCGTTTAAATCCTGGTGTCGTACTAACATCCAAAAAGTTATAGAAAATTAATTTAAATAAAAAATTTAGCTAAATTTTGTAATTGCTCGGAAGGGAATCTCAATCCATTCGAGTGTATTTCTGACATAAAACAAAGATCCTCATAATAAAAACCATCAGCCGTTCGGAGGCGGCTTAGTATGTTCACGTATAAACTGTAGGTCACTCCATTTGTTTGAACAAACATCAAGACGTAAAACCACAAATTGGTTGAGGAGCTTGGCGGAATAATATATTGACATCTATATGTATTTATATGAAATTTCTGAATGTAGATGGACGAAATATGTAAGGAAGTGAAAAGTATTGTAGGTATATCCCAGTTGCCGCCGTTTTGTGACGATGGCCACCTGTTCGGAGCGATTTTTGTTTTCCTATACTGAAAATGTTTTGTTAATTTTTGTTCATTTGTTGTTCATTTATAATTATCTTATAGATGCCTAAAAGCATAGAAAGTAAAAAAAGGATATCAAAAGTGTGATAGAATAAAATCTCACATGCGACGTATCCCTTTCGACAGTAATAATATTAATTTAAACATAAACCAAGCCATTACTAAAATATATCAACACACAACTTTTTAATATTAGTCGCATTAAAATGTCTTCTGGTTCCGCTTTGAAAGCTACTTCTGTTTTTATCCATGCCAATGCCTTGGTCTATTTTTATTATATTAAAAACGAACAGTTGGTCAAAACCATCCTCAGGACCAATCAAAGTGCTACAGCATCGTCATTTGTCAACATAACAAATCCTTAGGATTGTGTTAGGAGAAATGTACATGTAGAACTTTTCCGAAAACGTTGGAACAAACTGGTGAGTCGCTTTTTTTAATAAGAAAAAAAGAATTTTATTTTAGTAGCTGTTTACTTGATTAAGTTCACAATCTTTATTTTGTATAATTATTTACATAATGTGTATTCAATGATAAATTACCTTTAGTAATTTACGAGTGTTGTTCGTCAGTCGAATAATAGGAAAAATTTAGGAAAAAAAGCTTAATACTTAAGACACATTTTATGGCAAAATATAAATAAGCCTAAACAGAGCTTCTAACCATTTAGATGAAATTTTTACGCATTTGCCTTTTGTGTTTTAAGATAAGGAAATGTTAGCTTAATCGAATCCTCAATAGCAACATATCTAAGTATGTTTATTGAACGTAATTTGTAAAAGACCTTTCCCAACAGACTAAAAGATTGCACCCTGGTGCCAACCCCATCAACTACGAAACAAAGGTTATTAGAGTACTTATGCTACTTTTTGTGCTGAAACTTCAAAATTCGACGATAATAATCTATGTATAGTAAATGTTAGTTTATGTAGACAAATTATTACTTTTTCTAACAAAACATTTTAATTTATTGCTCTTCTTTATAGTAAATTACAAATTTATTTAATTTAGTTTTAATTTTGGTACACACGGGATTCCATTGTTAATTGTTTTACATAAATTGTCTAAAATTGCAATTCTAATGATAAAGCAATATTTACTAGGGATTGAAGAAATAAATCACCATTGAACATTGTAAATGTTCTAATATACAAATTTGTACGCATTTCAATAAAACTCTTAAGTTCGAGTAATGACTTCCTTCTATTTACATACAATATACTCGAATATATTTACACTGCATTATAGTAAACTTAATATTTATGTTGTATAAATCTTTTCACATGTTAATTGTAAAACATTTAAGCTACATTCATTTGTAAAGGCAATACGTCTTAATTCCGCACATTTATAGAAATAAATTTACTGATCGTTCATTGCGTAAAATAGTTTCAGCCTTCCAAATAAATATCGTTGCTGCTCCAACAAAACATTTACATATATTTTTAAGTATCTTTTGAAGATAGTAAAAAAACTAATTCCTAGTGTCAATGGCTAATATTTTGAAAATGAGATATTTGAAAAGATTTATATTATTATAAAAATATATCGATTTAAAAAATTCGACTGTCCGTATGTATTTCATTTTTAGATTAAAAATTATGCCAGGTGGTGTGCGGACACATATTTTGCACAAAAAGTATGTAAAAATTATTAGCCATACAAAATGTAGATGTGGTTCCCATACTATTTTGTTCAATTTCATGTTTTTAACACTTAGTTGAAAAAACTAATAACGGTCTAAATAGTAGTATTACAGTTATTTGAACTTCAACCTCATGGAAAATTGAAAATATTGGCAATAGATGGTAATATAAAATATGCACCAAAAAATTTAAAAAAAAAGTACATGTTTTTACCGGCGCAGCGACGATAATTAAACAAAGAGATAAACTTATGATTTTATTTCACAATTTACATATTAACGGAAGAGTTCTGATATATCCTTTAATTTAGAACAATATTTCCTCGATACTACAGTTCGTCTTTAATATTTTGAGAATCCACCAATGTAATCGGTTCATTCGTAGCAGATGGGTCTAAGCCTTTTGATATTTCACCGTTCGTTATACTAGTTCGCGTCGACTTTGCTGCCGTTGCTTTTGCGGAATCCATTGTTAGTTGCCAACGCTTAAACTCTATCATTTGCATAATTCTCACGATTATTTTTGGCTTTCGTTTGAAGACGTTAACGAGTTTACTAAACTCTTGGGAATACATGAATACGACTGGTATCGTGACATCATTAGTTCCATCTCCAGACATGGCGAACATTGGCTGGGTTTCGCCAGAAGATCCCGGCACATTATCACAAACAATCAGTGCAAGAGCACCAGCGGCTTGAGCCAAACGTGCTTTGCTTACAAATGTACAGTCACCTCGTTGTGCAATTAGTATTCTACCACTGATTTCTTCTTTGTTCGAAAGCTCATAACAAGCTCGAAAAGGGGATGCTATCACCAGCTCACCTTCAATAAATTGTTCCCCTATCAACTCTGGACCGAAATGTGATGGACCAGCCATCAACGCTGCCCAGTCCTTAGAATTATCATCAGAAGAATAAGCGACTGCCTGAAAATTAAAAATGATTATGTAAAGAAATTGGTAAACAACAAGAGCTAATTATAATTATTTATTTATAATATTATTTATGTATACAACAAAATTGTTGAGATTTATATTTACATATATATTTGAAAGTGTTTGCCGACTTGAGGTCAATATAAACAAAAAAACACAAAACAAAATTATTTCTTCCGCTAAAACCATTAAAGTTTATATATTATATATAATATAATTGGCGTTTTGTAACCGCTGAATCGACTTTCATTGACATTTACCAGTGCCCGCCGCGTTGTTCCCTCAATAAACACTTTTCACACTCAAATACACAGAGATTTCTGTTTAAATAAAAAACTTTTCAGTATAAAAAAAATCAAACAAGTGACAATTAATCACAAAAATATTTTAGTGCATATGAGCGTTTAAAGTTTTTCTGCTTATTTAATTTACTGGTTTACATAATTAAAAAAAAAACTTGAGGAAAATTGCCCAATACCTTTTAAGAGATCCCTGCAATTCTTTTGTATAAGCGAGTGGAGGAAAATGTTGGAATGTATTCAGTTTGAATACTAGACTCGTTGCGAACTGTGGTCTTTCCTCAATACCATAGGAGGCACCTGACGCTGCACAAACGCCAATCGCTTACTCTGGGTGTATTTGCTGCTAGATCCAATCGTCACATATCCTTTCCAAACTTTTAAGAAGAAAGGATGTCAGATTAATCTGTTTATATGACTACGCTACAGAGTAATGCTCGGTGTATAAGATAGACTACACTAAAAGAAGTATTTCTTCGCCCTGGCTACAGAACTGGTAGGATTGAGAACCCATAGCGCACCATTAAACGACTTGGTGTCCATTGTAAGGAGAATGTCAAATGTTCCTTTGAAGCAGATGTAGTTATTGTAATGATAATGACCGCCGCCACCCGACAGAAGCGGCGGTACTAGCAACCAGGCGCGACACCCTTCGAAGCTCCGATCCCGGGAATCCCCTAATCAGGGATTTAAACGCGGAGATTCGACGAGTCGTAAACAGTCATAAGCGGAAAAAGTGGGAGGAGCACCTAAGGACCTGCAACCTCTCCTCTGGGGCAACCAAGCTCTGGACCACAGTCAAGTCACTGTCTAACCCGACGAGACGCGATGACCGGGTGGAAATTTCATTAGGTGATCGCGCCTCGTCGGACCCGAAGAGAAGCGCGAGCTATTTTAGCCGTCTTTTTACATTGCATCCCTCGGTAGACAAAGCGAAACGACGTGTGACCCGCCGTATGCGCAAACTGCCAAACACCAGCGCGGTGCTTGATTTTTCTAGGGAGGTTGTTCAGGGGGTCATCGGGAAGGCGAAAGCCTCCAAATCCATCGGCCCCGACGGAATAAGCATGCTGATGCTGGAACATCTTGGACCAGCGGGAGCAGAATTTCTCGCGAGGGTCCTCAATCTGTCTTTGACCACCCTGAAGATACCCGGCATGTGGAAAATGGGTAGGGTGGTCCCGCTACTGAAACCGGGGAAACCAGCCAACATAGGAGATTCCTATCGGCCGATAACTCTCCTCTCCCCAGTAGCGAAGACACTTGAGGCCTTACTGCTCCCGACCTTCACTCACCATCTGCGTCCAGCAGCGCATCAGCATGGCTTCCGAAAAGTGCACAGCACCACAACAGCACTTAACGCCATAAACACCCAGATAGTCCATGGCCTCAACCAAAACCGACCCTGCGCGCGAACTGTCCTAGTAGCACTGGACCTGTCAAAAGCCTTTGACACAGTCAATCATTCAGTGCTACTAACGGACATTGAGGAATCCTCATTACCGCCGGGGTTGCAGAGGTGGGTCATGGGCTGCCTGAGTGGTCGACAATCATCGGTAATATTCCGAGGTAAAACATCTAAACCCAGAAAAATTAAACAGGGGGTTCCGCAGGGTGGTGTCCTCTCCCCGCTACTGTTTAATTTTTACATATCGAAACTCTCTCCACCACCAGAAGGAGTTTCCCTAACCTCGTATGCCGATGACTGTACGATAATGGCGTCCGGCCAGGATATTGATGACCTCTGCTCGAAAGTAAACGGCTACCTCGCTGATCTCTCCCACTTCTTCACTGCAAGACAATTACGAATCCAACCGACAAAATCCTCGGCTACCCTTTTCACCAGCTGGACGAAGGAATACAGGCTTGAACTGGATGTAAAGGTCGATGACGAAAAAATTCCGACGATAAATAACCCAAAAATATTGGGAGTAACTCTAGACAGCCTGCACTCCTTCACTCCGTATACGACCGCAATTGCCGCAAAACTCCAGAGCCGCAACAAAATACTCAAAGCGCTAGCCGGCAGCACCTGGGGTAGAGATAAAGAAACTTTGCTGGCTACTTACAAAGCAATTGGCCGGCCGGTCGTAAACTATGCTGCTCCGATCTGGACGCCGGGGACGAACGGGACGCAGATGAAGAAGCTACAGGCTTGCCAAAACACCGCCCTCAGGACTGCGACAGGAAACCTCCTGATGTCGCCGGAGCATCACTTGCACAGGGAAGCATCTATGCTACGAGTTAACGAGTAATGCTTTGCTGTGTAAGCAGTTAATAGAGGCTGAACCTCCACCTAGGCACATCAGTAAGGGAGTACTAGACTTTAAGGACACGATCCAGCAACACACACAACAACCGCTGGACAGGACGGCGTATCGACAAGCACTGAACGCCATTCACCAGGAGTCAGTTAACACCTTCATGGACTCCCTTCCAGTGAATGGCGTACTCGGAGAAATACCACCACCCATAGCAGACAACGAGCTCGAGCTGCCTCGAGAGACCCGCGTGACCCTGACACAACTCAGGTCTGGATATTGTAGCACCTCTTCACATGCCCCCTCAAACCTACTCATCTAACCCCCCTCTCCCACTGGTCCAACCTCGTCGAAACAGCTCGTTTCCTGGGCCTACCTTTAGATGACCTCGACGACTTAGACTAATCAAGCCTGTGCCTAAGCGGGGTTAGCGAACCAACAACAACAACAACAACATTGTAATAATGCCTTCCTTCTAAACTGTGCATCTCACAGCGACACTATATAGTACTGCGGTACTAAAAATTACTGCCTTGTTTACTTGACTTTCCAATAGCGTTGGACTTGGTCAACCATGAGTTATTATGCTGCCAGTTGAAAGCGGACTATGGTTTTAGTTTTGGTGCTTTGAAGTTTGACGTGTGTGAAAATATTCATATCATCATGGTTATACTAATGACATTTAGTTATATTTATCTGCACCTTTTGATCAAGCTAAAGAACTATAATAACATTAATACTGACCTGACTTATATTTCGAGCTGAACGGCTGTCAGCGGCCTAATTTAAAAAAAGGATGTAGTGCTGTACGTTGTCAATCAGTGTTAGGTACTCTAATCTTACATGCACGGATCATGTAAATGCAATTGTCTGTGTCTTGATCAGTCTTAGACACTCGGCTATCTATGCACCCACTACTACCATACGTCGAATTGCGATGCAAATTATTCTTCCAGCTATCGTGTACTCTGAAGTCCTATACTGCAAACATGACAGTGCGTCTGCTCATAAAATTTATGTTATGTTTAATAACATCACATGGAATGTGGGCAGATCTCGTCTTGGAAAAAATCATCTACTAGGATGTACGATTGCGGACTATCATAAAGCCAGAAAATTGTATTTTTCTAGCTATTTTTTATTCAAAATTGAAACCGACAAAATTCTGTTGAAGGGGTTGCACATTCCGATCATGGATTTGTATATCGGTTTCATTTTCGAAACGGGATTTGTGTCGACTTTAGGTCTTACAGAAACCGAATTATCGGTTTAAATGTCAGAATTAAACCGATCAGATTTTCGTTGACAGAGTTGTGTGCTATCTACTTTGCAAGCGGAAATTTAATATAATTGTAAGTCATGAACAATGAGTTTTACAACCAATAAACTGGAATGCGGTATTTGATGTCACAAGTTCTCCGCTTTTGATTGTCGTTCATTCCTAACTTTATACAGTTGTTCAAAAGTCTTTTGCAATTCTGTTATAGCCACCGTGCTAAGCAGATATTTGAGTCATTACCCACAGACCTTTGATAAGAGCATTCTGCCAAAAACCGCAGAGCCGCTGCAAACACAGGTGGAATAGACATCCCGTCTAACTTCAATGACATCCGTCACTATTACAAAGGCTTCTTTGTTAAGACGATATTGGTCTATGAGTCTAAATCCAAACAAATTTTGTATCAGTATATGTAAAAATAGAATGCAAATTGCATTTACATAGACTCTAACAGCTCCAGCGGAATACTTTTATTACTTTAAAATTTGCACTTTATTTTCTGGCTGGTTTCTCTTTATCCTTCCATCATCAAAAAACAGCTGGTTTTGTTGCACAAGTGTGTTTGCAGCTGATTCGAAAATCGGGTTTGCTTATCTTCGAAAAAAGCAAAATCAAATCGGTTTCATAACACCATTCCAAACCAATATTGATTTTCAATTCCGATAAAGAAGCAATTCTGTGTCGGTTTCTATAGCACCTCGGATTATTTTTGTTAATGTATCTGTAAGGTAATAATTACTTATTCTTCACTCTATTTCTGTTGTGCTAAAAAGATATGGACATCTTATTGCATTAACGCTTTCTTATTATTAATTAAATGAAATAAAAATAAATAATGTTCCGCAAAATAAATTTTTAATAAAATTTTATCGAGTCTTCCGAATTTTAGGCCTTGCACTCGTGGCTATCAACCAGCGCGGTCTGTAAATTGTCTTTCGATAAAGTTTTTTTGATTCTCGCCGCACCACTGACATATCAACCTGTTCTAAGAAGAAGTGTCACGATTTGCGCCTTACTTCTCTTAGCTTATATTTATACTTTTAAAATGTCCTGTAGTAAAAGACGCACGCTGGTTCAAGGGCCGAGTGAAGCTCGTTTCTTGTGCTGATGAAAGAGCTCAATTAATTGTATTCATGGAATCAGGGGAGTTAT